ACGGAGTCGGTCTTCGGGTAATTGCATTTTTTTTTTTCTGTTCTCAACAAGTACAAATTTATCCTAAGCCTATAACTACGTCACCAAATGCAATCAATGGAAAAGCATTTATATATGCAGGTATATAAACAGTGAAGACTATGAAGGAGGTTTTGACAAGTCAGACATAGACAACATCTTCTCGAGCATCGAGTCCGATTTCGAGGATTGGGCTTCGAAATTTCCATCTCTTGTCGTGGACTCGAGTGATCCAACCTCCGTAGACAAGTTCCGGAAGTGTCTTAAGAGAATGAGGCCTGAAGTCGCGCTATCCATGGCAAAAACCGTGTTCCTTTGCGACTATAGAGACATTCTCGACAAAATCGAGAAGCCATGTGATGTCATCCAGACAAGAAGTGACGTCGTGGTCCCACGCTCAGTTCTCGAGTTCTTCGAGAGGAAGCTCAAGGGGAAATGTAAGGTGAAGGTTATCAAGGGTACTGAGGGTCATTTTCCTCAGCTTACTGCAGATGTCGAGTTTGTTGAAGTGTTGGAGGATATTTTATTAGGTTGTTGATAGTTACTTTCTTTTACTTTTTTTTTTTTTTTNCGATTGTCATATGATTTGGATGAAAAATTATAATGTAATCAGCTACACCTGTTGGGTAACGCTATATAATTGTTCAAGGATAGACTTTCTTTTTAGTCTATCATTTACTTAATTTAAAAGATTTCACATTTATCCATGACTACAAAAGACAATTTGAAATTAGACTTCACCGGTGTCTGTTTTAACTTTTAATTACCATGAAGTTTCCCACAGCTGCCAAGCTCACTGAAAGTGGAATCCTAGATTGTTTACAACTTTTACAACAGAACCTACAAGCACAAATTCCTAATAAACAAAAAACAGGTGACAAACAACAAAAAAGGTTTTCTTTTTTTTTTTAAAAAAAAAAACACATTTTTAAGTTTGTTCTTCTCCTTCTCTAGCTCTCTCTTCAGCAGCAGCTGCCATCAAATCATCAAATTTCTGGGTCTTCCCCAGCACTATCTCAATCTAATCCATAACGAGTCGAATAATTTAACGGATATATATAAGGAGAAAGAATATAACACGAGGAAGTGGTAGAATGATTGCACTCTGTCATCTAAAAAGCCTTCTGCTCCTTCTACTACCCACCGGGGTTTATTACCAATGAATCAACACATACCCACATGTGTGTGTGTGTGCATGTGAGTGTGTAATCCAACGGCTCCTTCTACTTATGATGATCTACACTTCGTCGCCTTTAGTTTAAAAATTATAATTTCATATGTATACATATTATCTGATCATATACTCAATTTCCTTGTCAACATAAAAAAAAATAAATTATAACTTACTTTGGCTTTTGAGATAGGTCGTCCTCTTGATTCATCTCTGATTTCAATAGTGGATGTCATGATCCCTCCAAAATCACAAGACATTTTTTTACCATTTAATGAATGCCAACTTATGAACGAGTCAATAACATCACGTACAGGAACAAGAAGGTTAGCTGAAAAGCCTTACTCTTTTCCACTGCAAATCCATTATTCTTTAAGATCTCAGCAACACTCACAACAGTGGAAATTGCTGCATGTGCAAAAGAATATTTACCATCAATCCATATGCAAAAAATAGAGCTTAATTTTAGTTGAAAATGTCCGTTGAAAGTCATATGAAAAGGACATGCTTGACTTCGTATTTAATGTAATTTGCATGTAAGACATGCTTTTGTAAAATTACTTGATGATAAACAGCTCTAAATTTAGCAAATGAAATCAACTCTGCTGACAACCCAAGAACCTGCTATAGATAGATATCCACAAGAATAAACTGCTAGATAAAATTCTTTGTCCTACTCACAACTCACAAATTTCACCAGAAAGGGGAGATCTTGCAACATGATTGTCTCAAATGATAAATCAGTTGCTTGCTTTGCATACATTTTCTCTCAACTTGTGAGTAGGACAAAGAATTGCATCCTACCAGTGGTTAAAGAATGCATTGCCTCAGTTTCAATGAATGACTTTGGTAGGAGTTGGAATTTTAATAAGGCAATAAAACATGAAATCAACAAACATGTTATAAGTTAATATATGTATGTTGGCAAATTGAAGGCCTAAGAGTGACATTACTAACATGAAATCAACAAACATATGTTATAAGTTAATAAGGATGCACCCTCCTTTTTTCATGGCTGCATTCATTACTAACACCTCTATATGAAGGTCTAAGAGTGACATTTACACCACTAATTTTTAATACCCGATGAGCTGGAAATTATTATTGAAGGTCTAAGAGTGACATTGACTCCACTAACTTTTAATACCCAATGAGCTGGAAATTATCAATGAGTGAAAGAATCTCCGTAACACTCCAAAAAGATGGCTCGTTCTATTAGCTACATAAATGTGCAAATGCTAATCTTTCTAGATAAATGTTCCTCTGCGTACATATATATAAATGTGGCCCGGTAAATAAGCAAATGTTCAAATGCCGCTGCACATAAACAGCTCAAAAATCTTTACAATAACCTAGTCAATGAACCAAATACCACTAAAACAGCCAACAAGAAACAGGTAAATCAAACTAACTAGCAAGAGATATAATATCGTTCAAACTTTAGCCCCATTGTAAAAGATATTTGAGCACATTTACAAGCACCCATGCTAA